GTGTGTGTTTTCTTCTGTATTGAGGACTGAACTCAGAGCCTCGAGCATGCAAGCCAAGTACTTTATCTCTTGAGCCACAACCCCAGTCCTTCTTACTTTCAGTTTGTTTTTTGGATAGGATCTCTCTCTGCCAGGACCACCTTGATATTCCTGTTTCTGCCCCTCTAATAGCTGGGATTATAGCATGCACCAGCAAGCCTAGCTTGTTTTTGATGTAGGGTCTTGCTAACTTTTGTTGGGGCTGTCTTGAGCCACAATCCTTTTGTCTCTACCTCCTGTGTAGCTGGCATTACAGACATGTACCACCATGCCTGGCTTGTGTGCATTTTGGAATATCACATTTACCTTTTTTTTTTTTCCTTTGTGTGTAGCTACATAGAATGAGTTAATACTGGCACTGTTTTGCAATCTTTTTTATATTCACTGAATAATTAGGAAATGGCTCAGATAAGCATAGTTCAAGGCAAACTATTGTGTCACCAACGAATAACCTTTTATCTTAGAGCACTCTTTTTTTGGTGGAGGTACTAGGGTTTGGATTCAGGGCCTCACGCTTACCTGGCAGGCTATATCACTAGAGCCACATTCCTTGCCCATGTTTGGTTTAGTTCATTTTTTTAGGTTCTCTTTTTATCCAGAGCTGACTTTGGACTGCAGTCTTGCTACCTAGGCTTTCTGCATAGCTGAGTATGGCTGGCTTATTTGTCAAGATGGGGTCTTGCCAAGTTTTTGCCCTGGTGACCTCGAACTGTGATCCTCCCTAGCTCCACATTCTGAGGAGCTGGGATTACAGGTATATACCACCATATTCAGCCCTGCATCATTCCTTATAGCAGCCTGATGTGTTGTGTGGTTGTCAGAATCTATGTGTGCAGCTTGGTGGAGTTGGAGAATTTCAATAGGGGTCACAGCTGTTTAATTCTCTGTCTTGTGTGTGGTAGAAATGTTTGCCAGACTTCTGTGCAGCATTGGTAGCTAAACCTTAGTTTGTGGCCAGTTCACAGGCTCAACTTTTACCAGTTAGTTTTGAGTAATCTTTTTTATTTTTTAACTGTTTAAAAATAAGAATGAAGTTGGGTGTGGTGGTACACATTTATGATTCCTTAGCACTGGGGAGGCTGAGTAAGCAGGATTGTGAATTTGAGGCCAGCCTGGACTACACAATGAGACCTTATTTGTGACAACAGCAATAACAAAAATGTGAGGGTGACAGTTGTCAGCAGTAATTTTCTCCAATTTATCTCTTGCAGAGAAACTAGTTGCTTGCCACAATGTGACCTGCAGGTTCAGGGAGTGGGAAAAGCCTTGTGTTATTGCTTCCTGAATTTTGAGGTAGTATTTGGCATTCGTTTGAATAGTCTTGTGGTTTTCTAAGTCAGAATTATTTAATACAGCAAATCATTAAGCCTGTTTGTTTTTGGACAAGTCGGCACAAGTCATTCTCCTGCTTATTAGGGAATCATCTTTTGTGGCAACTAACATCACAACATTGAACACAGTTCTCCCAAACACAGTGATGCTCAATCCAGAGTCTGGAGTTAGCAGCCCTTGGATGGGGCCTGGGCATGTGCGTCTGCAAAAGTTCTCAGGCACTGCTGCTATTGCTGCTGCTGGGGAAACACATTTTGATGCGAGCTCAAGGCTCTGTGCTCCTGAGAAGTTTTTATATCTAAAATGAAATTCTCCAGTGACTAAGGAGGCTTCCTAAGTAGTGCGGGACACAGTGTCCTACTGCCCTGGTTACCAAGAGTTTGGAAAGTTGCTTTTTGTGAGTGCCATTCAGTATATGGGTAACAGAGGTAAGTTGGCTCTTTGGACATAAAGATATCATGTAGCATATGAAGAAGGTGAGCTACAGTTACCCAGCATGCTGAGCAAGACACCGGGAGTATTCTGTCCTTTACCTTGAATCTTTCTAGATTTGTTTGAAAACCACCATAACCAGCATCAGCAGTAGTATGCTCTTAGAACATTAAAAACCAACAAATCTCACAGAGGTTAACATTTGTTTTAGAGCATCTGGAATATGAACTTGAGTTGCATGGTTTCTTAGGATAGAATTCATCTATAAAATGGGTCACTGCATCACAGGGGAGTGTTTCGTCTTTGGTAGAGTTACTGTCAATCCTTTAGAGATTAGTTGGGAAAGAAATACTTTGGAAAGGTAGCAAGACTTCTGCACACAGTCTTGATTGTCTCAGCCACATTACAGCCATGTCAGATCTTCACAAAAACAGAAATACTGTTTCATGAGAATGTTGGTTCTAGTGTCTTTTTGATACCTGAAGATAAAAGGCTTTCTGGGGAAGATTGTTCTTCAGACAGTTCACCGTAAAGGAGCATCTTTCATGTGTTTGTCACAGCCTTTCTGCCTGCCTAGTGCATCTCTTCCTGTGTTAAGATGAAAACCGTTGCTAGCCAATCCATGTGCGAAGAAGTACTTTATCAAGTCATTCCAGGGAGACAGTGCAGGCCCTTTGGCAGCCGTTTGGATGAGGCATGCACACACAGGAGTGTTTTAATTTCCCTTCAGAAGGGCAAGGCTGGTACCAGTGTGAGGACTTGTAAACACCATGTCGTGAGGAGGTGGGAGGCTCTGGGAAAGTGTACTTTGGTTCGGTGCTGCAGACACTCAGCCACAACTTTAGAGCCACTTTCACAATTGCATGGCGTGCAGTCTGCCAAGTTACACACACGGCCAGCTTCCCTGTTGTCCCAGGCTCTGGGGCTGTTCAGTCTCTGAAGCGCACACATGAAGGTGGAGGCATGGGGGACGAGTGGGGCATGCTATTAATAATTCATTTGAAAGGGATTTCTATTTAAAGTGTAGAAAAGCAAATTCGGTAAGGTGAGATTAAGTAGACGTTTGAAAAGATGTTTTGGATATTTTACCTGAGAATTTTTCCTTATTTTAATCAGAGATAATATTTGAAATTCAGATGAAATATCACAGGACAAATAGGTTATATGTTACTTGACAAAAGATACCTTTCAGGGCTGGAGGTGTGACTCAAGTGTAGAGCATACTGTTGAAATTGATTCTGACTATTTGTGTATTTAACATGATAACAGCAAACATCTTATTGAGTCACCTTTTTTCTTCTCTTGAAATAAGGGTAAAAATTTAAAATTATTTTTATGATGCTTGAAATGTCTTGTTAACTTTTTTGTGGTGTTGGTGATTGAACTCAGGGCCTCACACATGCTAGGCAAATGCTCTACCACTGAGCCTTTGGTCCCAGCCCTCCATTACCTTTTTAAATTTTTTTCATTTATTTGTTTTGTGTTTTTGAGATAGAGTCTTGTTATTACAGGCTAGTCTTGAACTCAAGATCCTACTACCTCCATCTCCTAAGTGCTAGGATTACAGTCACCACACTTGGTTTCATTAGCGTTCAAGTGTTTTGTTTTGTTTTTTTTTTTAAGAAAAGTTACTTGGTATTTAGAATTTGGGGACTGTTTCTAAATTTACTAAATGGAGAATTGAAAATTATATGAAGCATAAGCATGTTGGGTCTCCTAACCTAGAAATAACTTTCCCAGTTCTGGTTGGCAGTTATACAGATGGCTGCCCTTGTCACTGAGAACCTACTTGCTGGGTACTTTGAGTATCCTACTGTTTTCTGTCATATATGTACTATTGATTAAACTGGTAAAATAACTTACAAAAGCTGAGTCATACACTTTAGCCTAAATTAGTGAACTAAAAATAAATTTGGTTTCTTAGCCATAGGATTTGGTTTATTAAATTGTACACCATCCAAGTTCTCAACTCCCTGACTACCATGTCTTGGTTTTTCTGATATGAACAGAACAGTGTTGTTCACAGTGATGGTTCCATTTGTAAACTAGATCAGACCCTGCTTGACGTTTCAATGCCTGCTAATAATGTGCCTTAATTGCAGGTCAGTGGAGCCAAACTAATTGCTTGTTGGGCACTTGACTTGCCTTTTAAATTCTATGTATAAAGTAGTCTGTACCAGAAGTACACAATGCATTGTTATCCAACTAAAACTCATTAAAATCATCTTACAACAGAATACCTGATATTTTGTCCATAATTTTGCCAATAAAAGAACGTTGAGTGACATTACAGAGAGTTTTAATTAACAAGTACATACATTTTAGAAGATAATCATAAAATGACTCCTGTGGTTTAGATTAGTGATAAAGTTTCCTTACTAAGGATTATGTTGCTTTGTGTTTTTAGAATGCTTGAAGTGACAGTAATGGTGTGGGCTTTTGAGACAGATTTATTTTACACTGCAGTTTACCCATGGAGATTAGCATTCATCCGGTGATTTTGCATTTCATTAAAAAAAAATCAGTGCCCTTATTTACAACTTACAAACACCATTCACGAGGGTTACCTTTTCATTTGTAGGAACAAATTCATAAGTTGGTAAGATGGTTAATATTTGTTTTGCAGTTTTTCTGGAATAACTAACAAGGCAGCTCTGCATAGGTCTTTCAACTTTCTCATAATTTCACTTATTTATTTGGTATTTATTGAGTAACTACTCAGTGCCAGGAATAGCTGTAGGTGTTTGGAGATACCACACTTTATTTTTTTTCTATTTGTGATAAATGTTTAGCCCTAGAAAAATCTCTGAAATGAATTTAAAGAGCTCTAAAAATTATTTTAGAACTACAGTAATATAGTAAGGAGTCTCTGCTAAAAAATTTAATAGCCGCCTTTTGGATTGTTTCGTTGTTTTGGACTCTCACTACATAGCCCAGCTGGCCTTGAACTTTGATTCTTCTGTGATAGCCTCCTAAGTGCTAAGATTACAGGTGTGTGCCACTGTGTCTCTTTCTCTGTTGATTTTGTTTTAAAAGAAATTAGTCCATTACCTTTTTCTTCTTCTCTTCCTCCTTCCTTCTCCCCCTTCTCCTTCTTCTTTCTTCTTCTTCTTCTTCTTCTTCTTCTTCCTTTTCAGCAGACATTTTAATTAAGAAATCCTATAAATCAGGCCACAACAGTTTCAGACACTTCGTTGCAAAATGTATGGTCAATAGGTAAATCTGAAGGATGAACAAGCCATTGAATGTTTAAAAAATTGGTTTAGCTACCTTAAAGTTGGGGGGAGGCACCTCATTACAGCACCATCAAGTTTCACAAGAGTAAAGTCAGTGATTTCCCCTCCTGTGGAGTCACATTTTTTAAAAAGGTTTCAGTGACAAAGAGTTGGAGGGTGAGGAGCTACAGAGTCTCAGGCCCATGGCTCCAGAGGCCATAACAGAGAAGAGTCTAGGGCTTTCATCCAACCCCACAGACACCAGAAAGAAGGAAAGACAGTTGGGAGGATAGCAGATTGTGTATGACTGTTTCTGAGAAAGCTGGTGGCATGGCCAAGAGTGGCCTTGCAAGAGGAGGAGTTCTAGAAAGAACACTGTAAAGAAAAAGCGAATAACTCTCCCCATACCTCTTTTTCTTCTTTTTGTAGGTTATTTCTTATGAGGGTCATGGATATCCCCTATCTAAACTTAGAAGGACCAGACTGTAAGTAAATTTTTATTTTCTCATTGCATCTGCACAGTTCAGTGTGTGGTCTGAAAGGGATAATGGAAGAAACACTATAAAAGATAGAGATTTTTCACTTAAAAATGGGCAGTGATTTTGTGGTTGATATGAACAGTATGCCTAAGTTAATAGAACCCCTGGGCTTTCCTCAGTCATCTCTCTACTTGCACTTTCCAGTTTATATATGGGTTGAACCTTGAAAAGCTGTGTCTTCATTATTTCATTTTCTAATTTCACTGTTTACTATGAATATTTATAACAGACTTTAACATATGCTCTCTGTGGCAGTAACTTGTTAAAATTTATCTTTTCCAATTACTTGAGTATGCATATATTCAAATTTTGTGAGTGTTTGTTTTTTTCATTACAGACCTTGAAAGGGCGGGGTATAGCTCTGATAGAGTTCATGGTTAACATGCATGAGGCCCTGGGCTCCATCCCGAGCACAAATACACAAACCCTTGAAAGATCAATGTGTTTGGGGCATGATTACGTCTTCTTTCTTCAGCCTCTCTGCTCTATTCCATTGTCCTTTTTCTGGCCTTGTTTTATTTGTCTTCAGCTTGTGATTAGCTTGTAGAAACCAGTGATAATAATCATTGCCATGATAGTTTTGGGGTTTTTTGGTGGTTCTGGAGTTTGAACTCATGGTCTCACACTTGCTGGCAGGTGTTTACCACTTGAGCCACTCCACCAACCCTGTAATGTTGTCTTGTGTTCCTTCTTAGCCTGTTGTTCTGTAATCTAAATATCACCATTCTCAATTCATCACCAAGAATGGACACCATGGTTAGGTCTCTTGCTTACTGTTGCACAGTTAAGTGGTGGGTCCTGGATTAGAACACAAGATTGTGATTCAGGAAAGCCTCTTCTTACAGTTAGTCCATTTAATTTGTACAGTGCACTATTATTTAAAAAACTAAATAAGCAAGCAGGTAGATTAAAAGAAGGCCAAATGTTTAGTGAAACTTCTTAAACAGTAGCAGGGTTTTTCCTTTAAGTAGTTTGCACAGGAACCTCATGAGAAGCTGTGTTTCTGTGTAGCATTGCTGGGGATCAAGTCATTCAGGGCTCTGTGAAATGTCACAGCCTGAAGTCTTGGTTGTGATGGTAGAGTCCTCCTAATCCTAATAATACTCCCAGGAGTTGTTAGATAATCAAGAGGCATTCATAACAGTTCCACAAGCTACAGTGGGCTTAGTCCATCTCATGTTTGTCTTGTAGTGCAACCTAAACGTGATCACGTTCTCCATGTGACATTCCCTAAAGAATGGAAAACCAGTGACCTTTACCAGCTTTTCAGTGCCTTCGGTAAGTAAAACACAAGTGCAGATGGATGTTTTAGGGTTTGAGCGTTCTTTTGGTTTAGGCGGTCAGATGTAGATAGACAGTTTTAGCTTGGACATAAAAGAATGCAAGTATGCAAGCTTTAATCTCACTTACAGGATTTTTTTCTGTACTAGTATCTTCTGAGGAGCTTTTAATAACACTCCCCAGTAGAGTTCTATGAGTTCATGAAAGTAAGACACCATTGCTATCACTGCCTTTACTGCTGACCAAGGAAAACCAGCCTAAGCTGAGGGCAAGTAATTTTTCTTTTCTTTTTTTTTCTTGAATTTGCTTGATTTTTTTTTTTTTTAATGGCACTGGGGTTTGAACTCAGGGCCTTCAGGCTTGCTAGGCAGACACTCTACCACATGAGCCACTCCTTCAGCCCAAGGGCAAGTAATTTTAAGATTAAACTCAGAATGTTTGTTTCATAAGGGCAAGCATTGTGTACTTGAGATTAAATAATTAAAGCGACAAACACTGCTGTCTGAGCAGACCAAGATAAAAACCTATGTACGAAGCATATTTTATCAGGTCATAGGATTGTGTTAATTTGAGCAGGCTTCTGAGGAGGGTTTGTAAAGGTCATTCTGATTGCAAGCCTGACCAGTACCTCTTTATTTGAACAAATGAAGTATTTAAGCTGTTTATTCTCTTTGGAAATTGTTGGATAAAGTAGAGGTAGCAAAATGGCCAGAGATAAAACTGTTTAGTAAATGTTCAAGAATCTCCTCAAGTAACTTAATATGCAGCCATTAATACTCAATATTTGAAGAGTATTAAAAGATGGTAAGGTGTTTATATTTTAATGGGAGTAAAAAAGTAGACATAAAGTAGGATTCTTGTATAACTAACACTTAAAAAAAAATTTAGAGAAATCAGACCAAAAAGAAGAAAGTACTTGTTACCACTGAGTATTTTAGATAGGATCTTTTTTCTTCATCTGTATTTTTCTGTGTTTTCTAAAATAAGCATGCATTACCTTTTGTTAGTTAAAGAAAAAAAGTTTACACACTCTATTTTTAGAAATGTATGTAAAAACAGGTATATTTCTGGAAAGTTATCCTGATCTTTGCAGATGGTTTAGATAACCCCAAAACCCTAGTTCTGCTTTTTCGTTTAACTATAGATATGCAACTGCAGTTGAATTTCAAGGCTCATTTTTTTTTTTTTTTTTTTGGTGGGAGGGTAGTATTTTGGCTTGAACTTAGGGCCTCACACTTTCTGGGCAGGTACTCTACCACTTGAGCCACTCTGCCAGGTCTTTATTGTGTTGAGTATTTTCAAGATAGGGTCTCTCAACTACTTGCCCAGGCTGACTTCAAACTGCGACCTTTCTTATCTCTGCCTCTGAGTAGCTAGGGTTACAGATGTGAGCCACTGGCATCTGACTAAAGGCTCATTTCTTCAGGAAGCTTTTGTTGTTTGTCATCTTCTTAAATTCTTATTCCTATCTAGTCAAATTTTAATTGGCTGAGTTAATTAAAATGCTCTGAGTAGAATTTTTTCAGTTTTTTTAATTTAAAAAATTAAAATTAAATTAAAAAATTTTTTTTAATTTAAAAAATATATTAGCTGTGTGATTCTTTGTATGTTTCCTCATTGGAGATAATAATAATAATAATAATAATAATACCTGTTTGGTGTGTCACTAGGATCAGATGAATTAGTCCTTAGAAAGAATTTAGACAGTATGCTACTCAGTAGAAGTTAGCTATCATTGTTTATCTCTATGGCAGCTGACATGCAATGGGTGGAAAGGTAACCACATCGTAGTAAGTGACATTCAAGATTGAGAGAGTCAATATATTGCCTTACTATGAACTGGAAGTGAGAGTATTTTGTTTTTCCTTTGATGGTAAAACAAAGCAGTGCTTAAAAATTCCTGGCCTTTGGAAATTTTAGTGAAAGTGAAAACCTTTTTTTGTCACTAAATTCCAGTAATATTTACCCATTTTGAAAAGCCCAGTCCTGTGTTTTTTTGAGAGTGGTCACAGAGTCATGAGGTCTCTACTTTTCCTTTCCATTGTCTCCAACTTCTTACCCTGTTCTTGTCCTCTCTTCACCTCTGTAAGGTCCTCCATTCCATGCTGTGCACACTCAGCCTGTTGGGAGTATTTGTTTGACTGTAGAGCCTTTTGCTCCTGTCTGTCTTCCCCTCCATCAGTCTGTTTTGGTTTTTTCTCTCAGCCTCTTTATTTTCCTTGTCATTCATTTTGCAGTGTATTTTCTTTACCTGGTCTGGATTTCAATATTGAATTTTTCTTACAACTTGTGATGTTTCTGACTCATTTCCGTATTCTGTATTCTTAATTTTCAAGTTGTGTCTGTGTGTGAGTCCATTTTCTCTGGCTAATAACACAATATGTAGACTGGGTGAGCCAAAATACAAAAGGAGTATTTTGTCTCCTGGTTCTGGAGGTGCAAGGTCAGGAGCCTGTGTCTGGTGAGAGCCTTCTTGCTGGCAGAGTCTCAAGGCAGCACAGGGGATCACAGGCTGGAGACAGGGAGTACACATGTGTCTTCTGGTCTCTCTCACTTTTCTTATAGTGCCATCAGGATGCCATCATGGGGGCTCCATTCTAATGGCTTTATCTTATTCTGATCACTTCCTATAGGCCCCACCTCTCAACACCACTGTCCAATTATATCTCCAGCTTCTTAATACCTCATAATAGAGATTAAATTTCAGTATGAGTTGTAGGATTCCCAACAAACTGTGTTCAAACCACAGCAGTCTCTGAAAAGAAATAGTTGTATTTTTGAACATATGTGGTTTCTGAGTTTCATTAGTGTTCTTAACAGGTAGAAAGCCTCCAACCCTAGTGTAAGATTATACTGAATAATTATATGGCCTAGGGTTTAATCTGGAAAGATTTTTCTTTTATTTATTTATTTTAATTTCTAGTAGCTTCTTACTTTCCCTGATTTGTTTTTTCTCTTCAAATGTGACAGAAATAACTGCTGTGGTAGCTTTAAGTTTTTTGCAGGTTAACTGTCATGCTGAGATTTGATCAGGCTTTAATCCAGCACCTCACTTCTCCTCAGACTGGGGTCTATACTGAAATAGGTCAGCTTGACAAAGCAAATCTTTCTAATGGCCAATGTTCACTTTCGATTCCAACTGACAGGTAACATTCAGATATCCTGGATTGATGACACATCGGCCTTTGTCTCTCTTAGCCAGCCTCAACTCGTACAAATTGGTAAGTGTCTTGGACATCCATTTTGTGTTAAATAAAGTGGGAGCTCACCCTCACCTTAAAAGCTCTGGTTTCAGTTAGCTGATTGGCATTACTACCTGGTTGTTTTTGATCTTGTCTGTAAAATAAAGGAAATAATTAGTAGGTATCATGTATAGATGAGAAAATGAGGTACACTTTTGGATTCCACTTCATTCCTTTCCCATTATGCTTGTTTTTTTTTTTTTTTTTTGGCAGTACTGGGGTTTGAAGTCAGGGCTTTGAACTTGCAAGGCAGACACGCTCCCACTGGACCCACACCCTCAGTCCCCACTGTGATACAAATTGAAAATTTATTTTGAGAATTAGATAATAAATCGAGGGAACTGGGTGGGACACCAAATAGTGATGCCTACGTCAGCCTGCTTATCTCTTTACTTTTGCCATTCATTCTTAAATATTTGTGATTTATTCACTCCTTTAAACTTGTATCAGGTACTTGTTTTACAAGCAAACTGAGTGATACTTATTAACTGTTAAAATAACATTCTAAATAAATGAAACACTGCATTCCTTGTACCCTAAATAATTTTGACATTACACATCAGTAAACATTCTGTTTTCTTAAGATGAAAAGTTATTGAAAAATATGTATTGTTAAGCCACATATTTAAATAGATTCCAAGTACCAGATGACTGGTGCTTAAAAATTTTAAAGGTATGAAATTTTAAGTGATGTGTCTGTTTTCTGCTGTAATTGCTGAGTAAGTATATATGAAGACTTCTACAAACATACAAAATCAGATCAGAATATTTTGGTGTTTAACTTTAATTATTTGGTCATCTCAGGAATACAGGCTGTTTTAGAAGTAAAATCTTAGGCTCTGGAATCATGCTGTCTTGTCACCTGTAGGTGTCATTCAGCCTTGATAAGCTGCTTATCTCTGTATAGTGAGGATAAAAGTATGGATGTGTTAGGGTTGTGTGAGCTTTACATTGAAATTGTGTGTCTAAGTTTGGCATAGCTTCGAGCTTTCATTATGGTTATTTAATAGCAGACTTGAACATAAATGTATTTCGGGGTACCTGACATCAACAGATGGTATTGGATGCAGGTTATAATGATGTTACTTGTTGAATATTTTAAGGTTTTGCTTAGATACATTTCTGTGATCCATTCCCCCACACCCTCTAGACAGATGACTTTAGAGAGAATCCAAAGGACTCAGTTTGTTAGAGAGCTAAAGGTAACTTCAAGTGGGGGGCAGGGACTTGGAGGCAAACTTGTAGTGAGGCTTCGGTGAGGCTGAAAGAAGCCTGAATTAGAACAGCTCTGCAGTCTGCCTCCTGGGCTCAGGGTCCACAGTCTACCTGCCTTGTTGGTCACATCCCGGCCATGTAGTGGGAAGGAAGGAGATGCACAGGCTTTGAAGTCAGACCAACATGGGTCTGACTTCTCTCCTTGCTGGCCATGCCTTCTTGAGCCCATGCTAGACGCAGGTACACATCTGTGAGAGGGAAGGGATTGTAGTTACTTTGCAGGATGGTGTGAGGATAAAATGAAATCTTGAGATTCAGTTCCCAGCAGAGAGCCTGGCACTCACCATCAGTGCCTGATGTATGGTAGGCACTGGTGAAAATAGATGCTTGGCCTCCTTCTGTGAAGTGTAAACATGAGGCTATGTTAAAAGCGCTTTGAAATCTATCAATATAATGTTTTTTGAGAAGACAAGTATCATTCCTTATTTATGTGTATGGGATGTCATAGTTCCTTTTCATGTTCTCTTTGTACCATATTTGATGTAAAATAATGATTGGCTCCCTTACAATTGGAAGCTTCTTCAAATAGTAATATTTTTTTGGTGGTGCTGTGGTTTGAACCTCAGTGCCTCAAGCCTACCTGCTAGATGGGTGCTCTGTCACTTGAGCCACATTCTCAGCCCTTTTTATTTTAATTATTTTTTGAAGGGTCTCACATTTTTTTTTGCCTGGGCTGGCCCTGGACCATGATCCTCCTGTTTATGCCTCTGGAACACTGAGATGTCAGGCATGTACTACCATGCTCAGCTTATTGGATGAGATGGGGAGTGTCACTTTTTACCCTGGCTGGCCTCAAACCTCAGTGCTCCCAATCTCTACCTCTTGAGTAGCTGGGATTACCCAGCTAAGCAGTAACTTCTAAGATGAGTATTTTATTCAGTGCTACCTGATATCAGAGAGCTACATGTCATATTGTATTTGATTGCTTGGTTGTATTGCCTCTGGGAGGGAAGTATTGGGTTTATCTTATTTAGTATTGAATGCTCTGTGCCTAGGAAACCCTGAGGCTTGAGTAAATAAGTGTGTGTTTGAATGACTAATATGGGAAATAGGTGAAGATGAAATGATAACCTACTTTTTCCCTCCCAGATGAAGAAGTAGATGAACGTTGACTTTGTTTTTTGGATGTCCTGGGGATTGAATCCAGGGTCTCTCTCACACATGCCAGGCAAGCAAGCACTGTTACTGAGCCTCACCCCCAACCCTTTTTAAAATTTTATTCTGACACAAGATTTTGCCAAGTTGCCCAGGTTTGTCTTGACCTCTTGATCTTTCTGCTTCAGCTGCCCAAGTAGCTGAGATTATAGTTGTGTACTACCACACCAAGCAGCTGTTACTTTTGATAATTTGCAGCCTTGCTATTAAAGCTTGATTTCCCACTGTAGTCTTTTTTTCTTGCATGAGCCAACTCTTCATAAAGTACCTGGCAACTTGAACATGCTGTACCTCTAACCATAGTTTTATTTCCTGTGTTTTCTCTTATCCCTCCCCTTCCCTTCCTTCTTGCCTTTCCTTCCCTTCTCTCTTTCCTCCCCTTTCTTTCCATCCCAACCTTCTTTTTCCTCCCCTCCCCTCTCCTTTCCTCCCCTTCCCTCCCCTTCCCTTTCTTTTTTTTCTGTTTTTGTGGTGCTGGGGATTCATAATTTCTTTGACCAGGACATCTTTCCGTCACCCATTCCCTCCCTGCAGAACTGGGCCACACCCTACTTCTTGCCTCATCTCTTTGTAAATTTTTGTGTGTATGGTGCTGGGAATGGAGCCCAGGGCTTCACACATGCTAGGCAAATGCTTTCCTATTGAGTTACATCCCAGCCCTAAATGTCACTTTTTCCAGGTGTTTTTTATGGCTGCCTTGCAGGGAATGAGACCCAGTTCCCTCTGTTTACATAGCATCCCTTACACCTTGTCTCGATGTTTTCATGGGGAGTGTGCACACTTTTTGGGAAGGGGTACCAGATCACTTGTTCATCGTTGTGTGTACTGTGCTTCGAGGGTCAGTGTCTGACATCACTAAGTAAGTGCTCAGAATTACTGACCTGAATAAATGACATCGTGGTGTTGTGATAGAAGTGCCTTTCTGCCCTGGATGGATTAGTCTGATGTCTCTGGACTTTTTTTCCTCTGATTTCTAAAATTTTGCAGATGTTTCATTGAAAGACAAAATGAGATTCATTTTTTAAAGTGGTGATTTTAATGATGAGAGAGACCAGGGTACGTAGTGTGCTGCAAATCCTATTAATGTTATCACAGACAGATTACCTAGTCATTTCAGTGGAAACAGAGGGCCTGTTAGATCAATAATGCAACACTGCAGAAATCATTAAATGCCTATTTATATAGTAACTTTAATGGCTTTTTTGGCTCTGAGACAAACTGTTTTATATTCAAGGAGTTCCTTTTTAATTGACATCTGTCTTTTTCTTTTGATGTTACTAATTCTAATCAACATTTTTACTCCCCCCACCCCTTTCTTGGTGATACTTGGCATTGAACCTAGGGCCTCGTGCTTGCTAGGCAAGCATTCTAGCACTTGAGCTGTGCCCCCATCTGTGCCTGCTGCTCCTTGAAGATGAGGGTACCTGGTGGCTTTGGGATGCTCAGATAAGTGGTAATCCACACAAGACATGCATTTCACATTCTCCCCCTCTGGCTTCAGCTGGGGCCGTACATGCCCAGCATGGGACTTGAGCTTCTGGAGAGATGCCCACCTATCCTAGCTGCTTGAGAATTTTTCTCAGTGTAGTCAAGTAAGAAGTCACCTTTCTCTGTCAATCAGGACTCAGAGCTCATTCCTGGTTAGGATTTTTATATCGCTAATATAGTTTTGTTAAATGGGGCAAGAGCTCAACAATATTTCATATATTAAACTTAGTAGAACTTTCTGGTCACACTTAGTATTTGGACATTATCTTGAGTATTCTTAAGTACATTACAGGATAGTATCTTTCTGCCTATAATTTTTTATAGAAGTAGCTTCAGAAAAGTAGCTTTTGTTCATTTTTAAGATGAGACATTGGTGTACACTGGAAATACTGTAAGAAAAAGACCTTGCTTTTGGTAGTATTGGAGTTTGACATCAGGACTTTGAACTTGCAAAGCAGGCTCTCTACCACTTGAGCCATGCCTCCAAGTGGCTCTGGATGTTTTGGAGATGGGGTCTCATGAAGTATTTGCCCTGGCTATCTCCAACTGTGGTCTTCCTGATCTTAGCCTCGCAAGTATCTAGGCTCATAAGCACAAGCCACCGGCACCTGACTTACAAGAAAATTTTAAACTGGGTGAGTTGGTGTGTGCCTGAAATCCCAGCACTCAGAAGGCTGAGCAGGAGGGTCAGGAGTTCAAGGCTGGCCTGGGCTGCACAGGGAGACCCTGTCTCCAAAAAAGAAAAGAGAAAAAGCAGAAATTGATAAAGGCTCTTCAGAAGTAGAAGAAATCTAGTTATTTTGTAATACCAGCCCAAGTTCAGATGGTTGTATAAATTCAGGATATGCTGCCTTGGGAGCTTGCTCAGGGTGATTTATTGGAATGGGAAGATCCTTGGCTTCTGATAAGTCTGAAATACGAGTGTGCTTATATCAAATCATATTTTTAAAGGCACAGCTTGTGATTGTGCCGAACACATAAGAACTAGAATTGTGGCTACAGCTCTTCCTAGTTGATTATGTAGCACTGATTTTTCTAAAAGCCTGCTTATAACTTTAAAT